ATAGTGAACTCTGCTAGCTGCAACCAGTGTGAATGGATGGATTTATGAAACCAGTTTCCCTACAAAATGTGAGAAATGGAATGTCAGCTCTGTACGCACTCTCTCAACTTTTGTTCCTTTTCTGGTTTTATTTTCCTGCTTTCTTGTATTTTAGTGGTTTTTCTATCGTGAGCTTTTTTCCTTGCCTCTTGTACATGTAGGCCATGTGTCTCACTGAAGACCTTTGAACTTAAGGCTATTTATCTTTCTTCTTCAGACTGTTAATCAAAAATCTTTTCTCTCTTCTTTGCAGCCAGATATATGACAAGGTTTGTAGCCTGAACTGTTTAACCTTGGGTGCTATTGCAAATGTTTTATCTATTTATGCTGATGGGTTTGATTCAAACTTACTGATGCATTCACATTGGTCTAAAGCTGGAGACACTTTGAACTTGCTGGTTACTAAAATAAATAAGAGGCAAAAAATACCTTTTTCTTCTCTTGATTAATCTGCACATGTAGCAGAGGGTCCTGTGGACCTCTTCTGGTCATTGTGAAGGCTTCATAAACTGGGGAAAGTGCTTTCTTCCAACAGCTCAACTACTATGGCTTTGCTTAGGATTAGGCCTGTTTAGGTCATCTTTTGGTCTAGGCCTGAGATTTCCTGCTTCCTTCCACTACCCATGTCTAATTTCATGTTCTAGAGGGATCCCTCTTCCCCAGGATTTTATTGTCCATGCTTGAAAAATACGTGCAGCTTGGAGGCAGTTGGATTTTTGGTAGCACTGAGAAGAGTTTGGCTCCATCTCTGTTACTCCAGCCCCGGTAGTTAATACACACAGACAGGGTCACCTGAGCTTTGTCTGTTCCATGAAAGAAACAGTCACAGCTCTCTCAGCCTTTCCACATAGCTCATGTGGCCTTCAGCATCTTCTTGGCCATCACAGGCCATCATCTCCATTTGGGATGATATTTTTAGGTTTTATCATATTGTCCGTGGGGTGTAAGAATGTTTTAGAAGTTTTAGCAGTTACGTTTGGGTCATATTATGTCTTAACTGTACATTTGATGCATAATTCTAGGCACAACAGGAACTGGATAAAAAAATCACTAAGGAGCTGAAAGAAGGTAATGTGTCATTCCACTTAGAGGGTTATTAAGGGAAAAGGTGTTTATTTCTAAGTCTTGACTTTTTTCAAGCCATTATTTTCAACTTCTTCTGCTATGCACAGAGATTTTTTTCTGCAAGCTATCCAGTTTAGACTTGAATGTGAAAAACTCCTGCTTCCCAAAATACTGCATAGATTGTTATGCACTTGCCTAGGAAAAAACAAGCAAAAAGAAAATTTATCCACTGCTCCACTCAGAAACACTGAGCTCAGGATGAAGCTGCTACTCACTAGAGTTAATCTCCAGCAAAAACATCAAAGAAGCCCCCAGATTTTTATAGATCTTTGTAGACTGCAGCCATCCCTTTCTTCCCTGTACATGGACTGCATTCAGTACTAAACCATATCCTACATATTCTCTGCTCTTAGATCTTGATTTATTTTTTTTTTGCTATGATTCATGGCTTGTCTTTGTAGCTTAGGTGTTGCAGTCTTGTTTTGAGTAATTAAGAAGAACTTGATCAGGGATAAAAGACAACATTTCTTTAGGAAGAGATGGTTCAGTAGTGTTTAGGCAAACATGAGTTCAATGCTTGCAACATGGAGCCTAAAACACACTCTGTAACTTGAGGCCAGGCATCCAAAGAGGAAATCCACTTGCTTCATGATGGCTGGTCCTCCAGAGTCACTGCTTTGCAGGGACTGCAGCTGTGCAGTTGTAGTGTTGCAATCAAGCACAGCTCTGAACGTTTAAGGAAAGCAAAGACTTCAGGGTGAAGAGCTCTGCAGGGACTCCATTAAGCAGCCCTGTTAAAGGCCACTGGAGTCGTGTGGAGTCCCACAAGATGTTCAGGGTGTAGCCTGTGGAATGTCTGTCAGTAGCTTTAGTAATGCTGTTGACTGATAAGCACATGTGCACAAAATGTGTTTCTTCCTTTGTGCCCAGCTCTTCCCTTATTAGGTGTCCTTGGAAATTTTAAAGTCTTGTTCAGATTTGCAGACTATCAAGTAATGTCAAATCTTCTTTCAGTGCCTTATTTCTCCATGTCTGCTGTAGAAGTAACATAAGGAATCTTGTCTCTTTTCCCCTCAGCCACTGCTGAACTTGAAACTGGAAGTGCTGGATCTTCCAAAAACCTTAATGTGGACCAGGATCCCCTTTCCAGAGCAATAGAGGAGTACCGTGATGTTTTAACCAAAAATTACATGATTAAATGAATTAATTACCTAATTAAATGAAATGGTGTGGAAAGGCTCTGAAGACTTTATGCTTTTATGGAACATCTATGGTTTTCCTTCTCCCCAGTTCAGAAGTGAAAATTTGTTCATTGCAGACTGAACATAAATTCTATTAAATGGATGTCAAGCACAGTGCACCCATCTGTTGGGGTTTTTTTTTTTAACAAAAGTTAAACCAAAGTTTCCCTTTATTCATTCTCATCCTTTCCCTTAATGTGTTTGGAATGTTTCCACTGTTATTTTCATGCTTAAAGACATGTTTGAGACCTGGATGTCAAGAAGAAAAACCATTCCCAGGTCTTGCTGGGAAGTAGAAATCTATGGAAGTCCACCTCACCACTCCTCATATCCTCAAATTCATTAAGCAGGCATTAGAATTCTGAGACATCACTCTCCACACATACACCAAAGTACACTTGGCAAAATGTGCATTAAAATAATGTTCCACCTCCTCTCCAGGTGATCCCTGTGAAAGTTACATTTATTAGCGAATGTATGGGTTGTAAATCCCAAATGCCCTTTGGAGGCTAACAATTTTAATTAAACAGTACATTGCATGAGTTCTTCACATAATTGAGAATGAGACTTCTGCTCAGAGGAGGAGAGGAGCAACAGTATTGTAAACTTTAAGTAAAGGCACATGATGTAAGAAGCAGCAGTAAAGTCTGTGATGCCATGTAAGCTGATGAAATCTGGCTATTTAGCAGTTTGATCACTGCATGTGTGTTTTGATTTAGCACTGATTTCTTTTTGTTTGATGTTGGCTTGATTTTGAACACCAAGTATGCATAATTATTTCAGAAAGTCTGTCTTTCAAGAAATTGAAACTAACTTGAACTTGAAAAAAAGCCTAATAATCAGTATGTGAGGGTCACTTGTTCCTTATGGGTTTAATTTTTCCTCTTTTAGAAATTACAATTCTTACCAAGTCAAGGTTCTTTTGATACCTTTTCTAATTCTCTTCCCCATCCCACTGGGTTGGGGGGATGGTGGTGTGTATGCAGCGGATAGTGATCATGCAGCTGTGTGGTACCTCAGTTTGGGTCTAGGGTTAAGCCACAGCATTTAGGAATTGGAATAAGTTCTCAATGCATTGCAGTCCTACTGTCAGCAGACATTTCTCTCTTTCTTGTGGTTTATAATTTCCAAGTAGTTTAATAAAAAGAAGGAAGACAAAGGTCTTACTTTGCATTTTTCTCAACTAAAATGAACCAAACCTAACAAATCCAATTGCGACCTACCTGACTCCACAATAACACAGAGTTCATTCCTTGATAACTGTATACTGGTAGCCCAGAAAGTGTGAGCCAGTGAATTTGTGTGGTTCTGAATACTCTAATAATCCTCTTCTGAATCATAGTATCACAGAAGATTCTGGGTTGGAAGGGATCTGCAAGGATGGATCATCAAGTACAACATTTAAGTGAATGGCCCATAAAAGGATTGAAGCCATAACCTTGGTGGTGTTAGCACTATTCTCTGACCAACTGAGCCAATCTCATACAGTAACTCTTTTACTGTATTTAACAGAAAATAAATTTTCTTGCTCATCACTCAGAAAGCCAAAAAAAAATCCCTTCCACATTCTGAATGGAAAGCTAGCTGCTAATCCTACCATGTGCTTGGGATATGGTGTATAAGGCTGGACTGGGAGCAAGTAAACTGTCCCCACTGGACTCACAACTATCCAATGACTCTGGAAGGCTCCAGAGGCAGCACCAGAAGCATCCCCACAGCTGCAGCTCTGCCCTTAGAGCAAAAGCTGCTGAAGTCACTGGCTGCAGGATGTTCTAACTACCCCATCCCCTTCAAAGCCTCAGAGTCAGTATTACTGAGACATGCAATCCTCCCAGGCAGCTTTTCTAAGCTGTACCACTCTTCTATAAATACAGCAGTTGCAAAGCAGGTGTACTAAACCAGATTCTTAGCAGCATATTGTTATCAGCCCAAGTCTTTACTGACACTTTTCTTTCCTGGTAGACAAAATACACCAGGTGGTCTAATAGGGGAATTAGCCATATTGGCAAAGGGGAATTTCAGACTGTCATTTTATACCACAGCTGTACAAAGACTGTGAGCTAAATTACCCAGCTACAGTGAATCATGTTGAAGGAAAGGTGTACCTATAGCAGACTAATCCAAATACCAGTGCTTATGCAACACTTAAGTCACACTTAAGCCCTATTTGGAAATCTCCCTGTGGTACACAAGTCTTGTAATGAAACAAGAATTCAGGAACAGGAATGAAACATTTCATGCAGACAGGAAAAGAAACAGCCGCTATTAGATGACACTGAGAAAACGACAGATAAGCACATAGAACACTGAACAGAATAGGAAATACCAAAATTAAAAAAAAAAAAAAACCTAATCCAAAAAAGAACTATAAAAATGAAATTTAAAATAGAAATGGATCAAAACTAAAAACATATATTTTGGTATCTTCAACAGCACTCTGAGCCAACACAAGTAAAGAAGTCGTATTGATAAAACAGCTGACAGTTGCTTTAGTGACAGAGACTAGTTATTTCTTTTGCATCTTTCCTGGCTAGTAAGGAATGAACAGCTCCTGTTGTACCCATATGACTCTATGACCCCATCTGCATCCCCCTATCTTCAAAAGCATGAAACTAAATTTTAGCCCATTCAGTTATCAAAGTCACCTACTGAAACTGACTTTGTAATCACAGGGTTTTTTATTAATACCATTCTGAAATACTTGACATAGAATTAGGGTTTCCTGGTCTTAACTGGGGAGTAACCTGTAAAAACAAAACTATCTGTGGCTGAGCATGTGTCCACTTGAAAACTTGAGATTCAGTACTTCCTCCTGAAGAGCAGAGAGATGACTCATGTTTATCCCATGTTGCCATCTTGTAAATAAAAACTTGCCTTTCTTCTAAGATGGCTGGAAGAAAACACATATATCCAGTTAGAAAATGCATTTTGCTCCCCATTTTTCCATTAAATGGTCAGACTGACTATAGAGACACTCTCAAAATGGTTACTAATAGTTATTTCCTAATACTCATAGAAATTTAGGTTTTGCAGCTTGAATCTACTTAGTTGAGGTTTCAGCAAAAGAGTATTTTTACATATTTTTAAAATTATTGTTATTGTTTTGGCTCTTCTTTCTAGAGTCAGGTCTGAAAAAACAGAACACTGCTAATACACTGAGAATCAACTAATGAAAGTGTCTGTACATCAGTCACCGCATTAGAAGAGAATATTGCCAGAAGCAAACATTTGATAAAGCTGTGAAGATTCATTCTGGAAAGGAAAATAAAGATTTTAGTGTATGTACCATTCTTAGTGATGAAGGAAAAGAAACTATTTCTAAGGGTTGAATCACCTCCCTACAAAGTGGTACTATATTCCTGTCCAGTTGCCAATAAATATTTTTACTGCTTATCATAGTGAAATGCATTTCTCTGTTTGAATTAGGTTTTGTTTGCCATCTGTTTTTTAGAAATTCATATGCAAAAGGTAGTTTCTAAAGATAGGAAGAATTGTTTTGGCAAGGTGTTCCATTAGCCAAATACCCTAGGGTATACTGTACCATGCCATCATCCCCAAATTATATGGTATCTGAACTACCCAGTGGCATCACTGTAGCAGTACAATATTAATAATTATTTCATAAATAAATATTTGCTTTCTCTACTGCAATTTCATACAGGCTGTCTGCATGCATGTTTGTATACCTCTGTGTCGGTGCCAACGTAGCCCCACTTATCAGAAAGTAACTTTCTGAGCCTGTCATGGATGTTAGGGAAGTTATCAGAAAGTAACTTTCTGAGCCTGTCATGATGTTAAGGAAGCTTCCCAGTCTGACCATTCCCAAAGCTCTGACGGTCACAGCCCGAAGGGTCACAGCGCCCAAGGCCCCGCACGGCTCCAGCGCGGTGAGGGCGCCTCGCCGGACACATCTCCCCGCAGCCCGACTCTCACACGGTCACACCGGCTTTCCTTACCGTTCGACCCCGCTTTCCCACAGCAGAGTCCCAGATATCTCGTTCCATAAAGCAATTTATTCCTGTGCAGTAACACAGGAACAGCTCGAGCTGGTGCCTCTGAGGAGAGCACCTACATAAAGAACCTCCAGGCTTCTACAGCCTCAGTCGTCCCCTGAGCCAGTCCTGCCGGGGTCTTCGGCTCTTGTCCCACTCTCAGTGTTCAATGACTTGGCTGGCGCTCTTCATCTCGTTTGCTACCCAAAAAGTCGGCAATTCCAGGCTCCTGCTGGGTCTCCCCGAGTCTGTTCACATGACTAGCGTCACCCATCTTCGCGCCCTTGGATATCCCGAAGGTTGGCAGCTCACGGTCTCTTATCTCGGGCTCCCACCCAAAGCTTAACCTGCTTAATCTCAGTCAGCAGCTTGCGATCTCAGCTACCTGGACCAGACGTATTCCCCAGCATCTGGCACGTAAGTAGATGATGTCTGAATCTCAGCTCCATCCCCTTTCTTCTTGTATCAATCCTTGCTGTCAGTTCTCGTCACCCATTCACCCAAGCCTGATAACGGCACTGAGCGCCCTGGGACATTAATTCCGTCCNCGTGGCGCTGGGGGTTCAAGAGAGTCGGCATGGAGCCGCGAGAGCAACTGAGGCGGTCAGTTTGTGGGCCACTGATGGGACACCTTGGCTGCTTCTGGCAGGCGCTGCCGCGGCATTTTCCGAGCCAAGCTCCACCAGTCCTCAGCAGGCTTCTCCTCAGAAAAAGGCAGAACGAGAATATGAGCATGGTGTGATCAGCACCCCCCTCTACAGCTTTCGATGCCACATGGAAGCCCTCGCCCTTAAGGCGTTGTGTGGGATGGCGTTCAAGCTAATGGCTTGAAAAGCGAGATTTGTCCTGTCAGCTGGAGAGTGAACTCTAGGGTTTTCCATGGCTTGGAACGGCCTGGTTAGCTGAAGCACTGTTGGAAGTGCATGCTGCAGGCCTGCCGCTTTGCCGCTGTCTCTGCAGGGCTGATTCACAGCTGCTTAGACTTCACCCCTTCTCTTGTGCCCCGAGGCTCTTCCAATGTGACTGGTAAAAGCAGGTCTGCTCTTGGCAGCTCTCAGACCTTGGGTAGTCCTGTATTTTGTCTGCTGAGGACTGCCAGAACATGTTGTCTGTGGTGCACTCTCCTCGCACAGACCCAGACTCACTGGGAAACTTGCCATTAGATCAGCAGCAAGGTTGCTCTGCAGGAGAGGGGGTTTTAAGCAAAGGAACTAAGTGCTATGAATGGGAGCATTGGGAGAAAGAGAAGAAACTTGTCCAAGGGGAACTGATGGATTCCAACCACACATGAAGGGAAAACATCTTGCCGTGTAGATGGTCAGGCAGTTGAAAAGCTTGTCCCAGGAGTTCATGCAGCTGCATCCAGGGGGATTTTGAAGAGTAGTTAAAAGAGCATTAAACAGCATGGCCTTACCCCATAGTCAAGGCTGCGCTGCAGAGGCAGTAGGACTGGAGTCATCCTGAGGTTCTTTCTAAGCTAAATTCTCCAAACTTCCATGTACTTGGCTGTCCTTTCACTGTTCTTGTAGGAAAGGGGAAGGAGTAGACTTGGGAGCAAGCAGGGAAAAAATGATGCCAAATTGGATGTTTCCTATCAAATTGTGGATGCTTTAGGGCTGCTCTTGCTGTTACTACAAGACATGAGGCTGATGAGGATGAAGACAATCTGCGCTTGCAGGAGGAGTTGGAGAGGGTTGAAGCAGAGGTATGGAAAGCCTGTTCCTACAGGAATAAACCATGAGGTGCTTGATGCTTTCCTGTCCATCACGAAAAAGAACAAAAGAGTATCCTGTGGACCAGAAGAAAAGAGACCTAAGGAAGTAGAGGTTACATTGGGCTATGATCTTCCTCAGTCCCCTCTGCCTTTGCACCCCACCATGCTGAGGTAGAGCTGCCTCTCCTCATGGTTTCCACACTCCTGACTTAGGGGTGTGGGATTCCTCTCTCTGCTCTACATTCGAGGTCTTCCTGGTTTAAGAACACTCCCCAAGCACCTTGGCATGATTCCCTACTCCAGAGCAGGCCTATGGCTTAGTTCACCTGGAGCCTTTGCTGAAATGGTGCTCACCAGGATAGAACTGCTGCCATCCCTCCCAGCCCTGCCACACAGAGGCAGAGCTGCCATTCCTCAGGAATCCGCTGCTTCCCACTCAGTGGGAGCTGGGCACCTCTCTCAGTGCTGCATTTGAGGTCTCTGCCACTTCAGAAAACTCCCTGTGCTCCCATGGCACAATGCTGTGCTCCAGAGCAGGTCCTGTGGAGCAGTGTTCATCTGACACTTGCAAGACTCCTTCCTTCTTTATGACTAAAAACATTTCAGTTTATGGTTTCCTGCAGTAGCAAATAAAGTGAATACAAAGAGCATCAGCAGCACCGGTCCCCAGAAGGGTCAGAGCAGCAGTGTCAGTGCTTAGAGCTGTGCTCTGGGAAATCTGTGGAGGGATGGGAGAGGCCGCTGTAGAAGATTAGGAAGTAACACAGCTTGTGTTCATTTGCTAGTAGAAGCTTTGAAGGTACTTGAGATGATCACAGTTCTTTGGGCAGTGGGCATGGGCAGATATCTGCAGCAGGTGAGTCCTTGGGCAGCAGCTGACTGCCCTGTATAAAAGCTCACTGAAGACTATGGACTCTTTCTGTCATTTTACAGCTGCGGGAGATGGAAGAAAAGTACCAAAATTCTGAGTCTTGTGTTCAGAACCTGATGGCTACCTCAGATGAGAAAGAAAGAGAAACAACAGCTTCTGTCCAGGATCTGCAGGACCAGTTGTCAGCATATTTGGAGACTGTGAAACAACTTGAAGAACACGTGCAACGGTAAGAGAACAACACAGTGGGACATAGTGTCTGGTGCTTGCAGAAGTTGGGTGGAAACCACAGAACAGAGCCCTTGTTGCATCAGAGGAAATCATTATGGTTTTGACTGATGTACTTGATTTTCAATACTTTACTCTGTTCTTTTCGAATTGGTGCTCTGGCAGATTTTTATAGTAAGAATTATATTTCATTTTAAGCCTTGGATTTGAAAATACCCGTTTGGAAACCACTGTCCAGCAACAAAGCCACAAAATTGAAGCCCTGCAGAGAGACCTGCAAACCACTACCTCTGTAAGCTGCTCATACATTTCCCTACTGATGAATCCTGTGGCTAGTTACTTATTTCTATAGGGAAATTTTGTAGTGTGGTTTTCCCAGAGAGCCAAGGGGAGCTCAGTTCCTGCATTCTGCTGAATAGAGGCTCCTCAGAAAGCAGCTGAGGTCCTATCTGTCTTTCATAGCAAGTGGCCTTTGAGTGTTCTCTATGCCCTGTCCTACAGAGATCGTGCCCTTTCATTAGGAGATTTGAACAGTAGTACTAGTTTGGGCTTCATCCTGAGTGAAAAGACTTAGGGTATTAGCCCCAGGGTTCTGCCTTAACTGTTGATGGTAGTGAGAAGGCACAGCTGCCTCTGTGAGCCAGGCTGGGCCCTTGAACTTGGGTACATGCAACTGACAGGTGGGGAGAGTTCTCTTTTTTTTCTGTGGTGGTTGAAGGTGCACTCTCTTTCAGGCACAGGCAGCCTCCCAGGAGTTGATAAAACAAAGCAGAGCCAATTATGACTCACTGACCAACCAGCTAAAAGACAGAATTAGAGATCTTGAATGTGAATTGGATAGGATAAAAGATACTGAACAAGAGAGTACTTTTCAAAAACAATGTATACAGGTAGAAGTGAAAAAGTACAAGAAGCTGTATCTGAAGGAAGTGAATATTAGCAAACGGCAAGCAATGGAACTGGAAAGGCAAGTCCATATTTTTTGTAGTGGTAATAAAAGTGGCTCTTGTTTCCTCCTGCATCTTCCTTCCAAATCACTCTTCTCCACCTGCTTAGAGTCCTGTGTGGAAGCACGAGATGGCATAATTCTGGTGAAAGACCTTGCTCTTCATCAGCCTTCTCTTCATTTCTCTTTAGTGTTCCAACAGCAACACCACAGTAGCAACATTATGCCATGAATAGGATACTTTTCAAGTTGATGATTTTTTAACTGACAGCTTTTTTTGCCAGTTTCTATAATCTCTTCATCCTATGGACCACACAAAAGATTAATTTGATGTCCATTACTCTTTGAATATGAATAGGCAGAACAGAATTGGATTCTGTGAAGGAAATATAGGAATTATCTTTTTTGGCTTCTGTTTAAGCAGTGGCTCTGAGCTTTGAGCTTTCNCCGGCGGAGGAGCGGAGCGGCAGCGGCGCTGTGAGGAGTGGGAGTGCGAGCGCCGCAGCCCTTGGTTGGCTGTGGGAATCAGGCTGGGGCTACCAAAAACCCCTTGAATTCGGCCTTACCAGTTTTTGACCCGGCTTCTTCAGTGCCCTCATTCCCGGACTCCTGTGTCCTTGCCCAGGGGCGCGGGGGTGGAAGCGAGCTCTTAGCCTGGCAAACAAGAGTTCTAAGAGGAGTCTTGTGGCCATTCTATAGCCAGGCTTTGAAGTCTGAGTGTAGTCACTTCCATCTCTGTGCACCTCTGAGGGCTCAGCCTGCAGGTTCAGTAGCTGAGCCCGAAGGATGTACTGTCTCAGCTGGAAGCAACTTAAAGAAAGGTGGATGCTGCAGTTAGGAAGGATTTATAACGCAAAATAAACATGTTGTTTATTGATGCTGCATGCATCGTAGCCTTTTTTGAGTGTGATATGGCAGCCTAAGCCACAGTGTGGTTTTAGGTGGCAGTTAGTTTTTTGCTCTGAGGCTTTGGTACAGCTGATCAGTGCCTTGGACTGGAATATCTGGTCAGTGACTTGCAGGAGAAGCTGTTGCTGTCAGGCAGGTGTTGTGTGGGGGTTTGAGTCAAGCACAGCATCACTTCACAGTTCTACCTTCAGGAGAAGCCCTGGGCTGCAGCATAGTTCCTAGTGATCTATCATAAGCAAAAGCGAATCACCTTTTCTGAAAAGACTCAGAGCCAAATCTTTTGTGATGTTCTGAAGAGGGTCTGGTTTTAGCAGAGTAGCTCAGCTTCTAGACTGGACTTCTGGCACCAATAAAGCTCATCTAGTTTTATTGCCCTAAAAACCCCTGCTAGATTTGTAGGAGGAATCACATGCAAAGACTTCCACAGTGATCTACCTACCAATATGCAGGTAGACTGGTTAATTGACATCAGACCTAAGATGATGTGGTTTGAAGGACTGCTTTTCCTTCTGGCAAGGCTTTAAATTGAAGAGGAAAGTTCAGCTTTCCTGTGCTGGTTATATATTGTGGAAACACGGTATTGCCTCCTTGGAGAGGACTTAATCTGTAGTAGGCCTTTTATGACTATGATAGTTAAACATTACAGGAAAGTAAAAAACAACTTTCCTGTAGTCAGGATCAGAGTGTTCTGCTCTCTGGTTTGGTACATGTTGTTAGAGGCACTTTGGTGAAAATATATTCTTGGTTTTGCTTCAGTAGTAAAAAAGCTAGAGAAAAAGGAAAAGTTCTCGAAGTGAGGGGAAGCTGTAATATTCTTTCAATTCAACCCATCTCTAACATCTCCAGTACACTTCTGGCCCATGAATGATCAAAGAA